AGTAACACAGTAACATCGGTAGCACCTGTAACCGAGTAACTAGTAACAGTAGTAACACGGGTAGACCAGTAGCACGAGTAACACGGGTAACACTGGTAGTATGGTCAAAGCTTTAGAATGCATTGTTATAGTAAAGTGTGATGGTCAGTGTACCCGTGTGCTGCAAAGCGAACCTAAGCTTTGCAAGCAGGGAAGAAATGTGAATAGTGTAGAACGCAGGTCTTTGGGAAACAAAGATGGCGTAATGATATTCTTCGTAAACTAACACATCGAGCATTCGGCAGTATCATCATTTACATCAGGCCTGTGATGACGAGAGCGAAATAGGATGCGGAAGTTCTCACCGTAGTACCAGATCCTTTACGCAGCTCTTCAAGAACATGATATATCTTTCCGTTCATTTCAGCTTCCCTCCCATTCAACTTGATAAAGAGAACACGAAAGTGCGAGCCACCGAGATCTAGTGCCAAAAATTCCCCAGTTTCTTCACCGTTTGGCATCGCACGTATATATGTGGGGAGCATCTTCAAAACCGCATTCTCACCTGAAATAGTATTAGGCATCTTATTAGCGGAAATATTGAATTTCACCGACCGGATTCCTTCGATAAACCTTCATCCATGCATTTCTCCATTGCAGTCATAATTTGCTCAAGAACATCATTAGAGAGCACAAAAGGACTGCAAACTTTTTCAACCTAAAAAGCAATTTGATTGGATCACGGCGGCTTCTTGCATATCTCACCCTCTTTCGATGCGAAGCTTTTTCAGGGTCTGAGCCGAAAAGAGAAGAGATTGTGCCTAGCACATCCGACAAGAAGCTTACACTCCTAAAAACCTTTGTAAAGCTACATAGCTATACTGCTCATAACTTAGGGCGCAAAGCTCACCCTGGAGCATTAACTTGTTCCTTTTGTTCTTCCTTTCTTCGCGGCTTCTTACTCATGCGAATGATGCGACTGTATTTGTGGGCCTTGGTAAAAAAGTGAACCATACACGATCGTAACCAGACTATAAGTTCTCTATTTACGATGATTGGGAGATCTGATAAGCTTTTGTTGTAATGCTGCTTCATTGTTCAATTGATATTCGACTTCGAATGGCTAAAGCTGTGATTTTTTGATAAAAGCTGGAAATAGGGAATCAGCTTACGAAGCATCGCATTCAGTGATCTCTAGAGGTGGTTTAGCAAAGTAGCAGCATCTCGGTAGAACTTGATCTCAAAGATTTTAAGCTGAAGGGCTTACAGTCTAGTAGATTTTCTGCTTAATGTAGTGTTCACTACAGGTGGAATGCGGTGAAATTTGCTGAACAAATACCGCGCGCAATAGACCGGCGTTACAGGCGTAGCTATTAGTTCACGCGCAAATTTCACCACATTTCAACTGTAGTGCGAGTTCATTATATTAGGCAGTAATCTACTCGACTGTGTCCGTCTCGTGATTCCGACTGTGCAGTTACAGAGCGTGAAAATTTCGAAAACGAGGTGGAGCCCGAAGCTCTTACCTGAAGCCCCCTGTTTGAATTGGGACGTAAGTAGAGTTGCTGTGAGACCGTAAGGTTATGCTGCATGCACTATAGCGCGCTTTAGCCTTGCAGTTCAAAGAGGCGTCGTGTAGGCTTACCGCAAGACCCTGGCCATTTGCAATAGTTTGGTGGAACCCCTTTTTTGAGGGCCTTTTGTCCAAACTACAGCCATCGCTCAGGTTAGGTCTACTATAACATCCCTACAAAACCCCCAATTTGCCGAGACGATGCCTCTAAGATGGAACAAATTGCGCTATTTGGTAATCTTGGTAATCCCAAACGACAGCTAGTGCGTAATCGTTTGTACGACACAGCTTGTGTTGCGATGAACTGCGTTATTTGCCCTTACGGAAAAGTGGGGGACTGTGCTAAGTTTGGCATTGTTTTCAAATTGAATGTCTAGATTGCCATGCAACCTACATAGGGG